GTTGAAGCAAAATCTTAAATTATATAATTTGCTTTATTGCGATAACATATTGAGTTTGAAAGCCATTAGAAATTATAATTGTAATTTAAGTTCTTCCTAGGAGTAATTTAGTCTTTTTATTCGTTTTTACATTTTCTGGGTTTTTAGGGTTTTACAATATATAGACAGATTAAGATCACTTCGTATAGATTATCATAGTCCAAGTTATTCAACTGGTGAACATGTATGATTGTCAGTTAGAATCAACTTTAACGGTCTTCAAAGAGTCTTTTCAAGTAAAATTTCTACTTTAACAACGATAATTAGCAGAGATCAGTGATCCATATGTGTTTTCCATACTATGTAAACATAAAAGATTTAACTTTGATAAGAGAAATATGAGATTCAAAAACTAATATACTTGAAATTATTTCATCGTTAATATCTTTCCATCATGGAAATAAAACTTCTACACAACAACAGGAAATTTATATATTCTGAACTATGGCATACTGGATTCAACGTAGCCACCATGCACAGCGATCCCTGGATGTGGTGGCGCTGAAGTCAATAATAATAATTTCCTGGTGGAGCTCCTCCATGGATGGCGGCAGCCTTAGATTATTCCGGCAAAGAGGACATGTCATGTGACCATAGCCAATCCACCTATCTAAACAAACTCTATGAAATAAATGGTCACATCTCAATTCTCTGATTTCATCTCCTTCTTCAAACCTGCATAAACAAACGGCACATTCTACTGAATCCCCAGGCTGATCTGTATTGTTCTCATAGTGCGTCACGCTAAGATCGTCAACATATTCCGATAATTTGACACCATAATTATAAGGCTGAAAGAAGGAATGGTAAAGAAGGTAATCCCATGCCCACTTCAGCTGTGTAACAACCAGAACTATATAGGTTAACAATCCTGACTGAGGAACTATCTGAATCATTTTCTTGGATTGTCTTTGATTCAGAATATACTCTACAAGGGAATGGATGTATATGTAGACCTACAAAAATGGTGAGATTAAGTTACTTATTTTGACGGTGAAGCAAATATTATTATTAAAATAAGTAACATTTTTGACTTAAAGCAGGAAAAATTAGGGCGGCGGGCTAGAAAAGTGAGGCAGCTAGATGAAATTTTGTTTTGATTTGTTGGATTGTCGGACTAAAGTTGAATATTTACCTTCGAACTAATTTCTATATTGCAACAGATAATACCTGACATAGTCATATTAATTTATATATGCAGATAGAAAGAAAATTTGGCCCTCATTTCATTACCTAATAGGCACAATAAATTAATATACACTGCATAGTATAAGACATCATAAATAAAATAATATTAGCTTATGTTTTTATAAACTCTCATTCCTCTTGACTTGTCGGATTTTGTTCCTAAAGATTCCTCTTTCATCGCTAACTAGTAGGTCTCATCTGACTATTTCTATTACCGGGATCAACGTATAATTGTACAGCCTTTTTTGATAATTTTTTTGATAGCCCCATCACATGGGGTTGGGGCCCACAATTGCGGGCCCCACCCCCATGTGAGGGGGTTGTAAAAAAAAAAAAAACTATCAAAAAAGACCGTAAGTGTAGCATTGTTCATAATTGCTATTCTTGTGCAAAAAGCCTTGTTATAAGCATCCGAGTCATATTTTTATTCACGCGTTTTGAGAAATTTATAAATACTATTTACTTATCTATTTTTATTTAGAGTGTGCCTGATTGATATGGAAAATATATCCTAAAAAAGAAAATATTTTCTTTATTTTGAGCAAAACAAAAACATACTCCCCCAAAAAAAATGTTTTCCTTAAAAACAAGGAATATTAGCCATATTTTTTAAAAGTTTGAAAATATTTTTTTATTGAAGAAAATAGCAATCAAACACTTCAAAGTATGAATTTGGATGGAAAATTGATATTTTTCATGAAAAATAAATACAATCATACACGAATAAAACCACTTGTCCAGGCTAAAAAGTAGAAATAGTACAAACTGACTGAATTGGTAGTGTATATGTGGATGTTTTTTTTCTTTTATTTTTCAAACTATCCAATTATGTATGGATACGTGTCCCTTCTGTTTTTGAGTCTGTCATTGAATCTGTTCATTTAGCGTGATTGATCAAACACACCCTTATATCTATTTATAATTTAAATAGTTTTCAAATAATTTGAAACGTATCTATGTACCATTCTTTAATACGGGAGTTTACATGGTTAATATTAGATAACTCATGCCCCCTATGTTTAAACTAAGCATTCAAAGTACGCAAGCATATTTAGGAACTTTTACTACTATACTTAACGTGTCAAATTTAGTCTCTCTTCTGTTTTTACTTCCACGACATGTTTAGTAAATTTGACTAAATAATATCGAAGGAAACAACTGATAAATCACCTCACGTGAAAATTTACGCAATTTTCTTACCAAAATATTTGAAAACTTGGATTATGAATTATCTTTAATGGGTATCAATTTATAAAAAGTGACTTAATTCCAGGTTCAAAAGACAATTTACAAAGTTTCAAACTTTAATTCTATACTGCAATAAACCAAATAAATAATTAGTGCCAATTGAAAGAAATAATAATTTGAGTTCTTTAAATTAATTATAAAAATAAATTTGAATTTTTTGTATGTCGTTTCCGCAACATTTCATTTTCCACGTTTTTACAGAAATGGTGTTTTAAATTTATATCGTGTCGTGTTAATTTTCGTACAATTTTAAATAACGTTTACTATGCAATTGTCTTGGTCATCCAGTCCAAAAATTGGATGGTTCATCGTTCAGAGATAGGCTGCAGTCTTTCGCCGTTGCTGAAAAAAAATATCTGATCTGAATGAAAATCTTCAAATTGAAATGCATTCGTCTGGAAGATGATCAATCTTTTTCAGGTGGTTCAACTCATTTATATTAAATTATTTTCTGAAAAGAACGTCCTATCACAAGACAATTACAGAAAATCTTCTCAATCGAGAACATGTCACGTCTAACCCAACAGTATTACTGTCGTTGCTCATTATGAATAGCACTACTATTTATTTCACTATCTCACACACATCTTTATTTATTTATTTATTTATTATCACAAACTAAGCTCTTGTTTGGTTCAATTAATTTTAAGTCAAAATCAATAATTAATTTTAATAACACATTTTATAGGATTCACAACTTTTCAACCACATATTTCATCAAATTTTATCAAATTTACCTAAAGCAAACCAGAGCTAAGTTCGACTTTATTTGAATGTGGGTCCAAGTCTAAAATGACATCAACCACTTTATTTGAATGTTGAATTCTTAGTATAGGAAATATCCAACTTAAGGTACAAGGAAAGTAGTGGTCTGATTTGATGTCTTTGAGTGAACGTTCCCAGTTAGAGACTGATATTCAAAATTGATATTTCGAGGCAAGACCAGTATCAACATATACAGTTCTAGGTGAATTTAATATTTCTTTTTTTTTTATTAAAAAAAAAAAACAGCGCTCCTGCTGAATTTTTTTTTAATTATTTATTTGTAGAGATAATGTAATATTACAGTACTATACTTATTAGCTAATTTGCCTTTCAATTTATTCTTCGGAACATTATTATATTAATTTAAAAATGTACATATTTGATTAATAATTTTAACAATGTGTGATGTTTGAATCTATTTAAATAAGCTAAATACTTTTTTAAAATAATTTGAATTTAATTAAATACAATATTCCTAGGCGATCGAATTTAATAAATAAATTAATAATTTTTTGATGTATTAAATTATTTTACGGTCAAATTAATACTTCTCTATATAAAGTTTCGTATTTATCTGGACAGGTTTTTTTTTGTTTTTTAATATTAATACGTAAGTTTAAAAAAAGATCACTTTTAGGTTAAAATAACCTATTCTTACAACATTTGAAGCTTCATCGGAATTGCCGTCGACGTTGTTTGAATGAGGCAGTTTAATTATTTGGAAAAATTGCTTTTCTTTGACCATATGAACATTTTCCACAGGTTGAAAGACAAGTCACAAGATTCCTATATGACCATGTTGTCTTGCACGAAAACTGTTTGTGAAATAAATTAAGGGATACTTTTCAAAATTGTAAAATATTAGATGATTTTTCTCAAATTTTTAATTTGTTACAGCCGTCACCCCTAACATTTTTAAATGTTACAGATGAAGTTCTTTTGGACAGTTTTCATCCATAGTTTTGTCAATTGACCAAATATTTAACTTTGACCACATTTTTAATATTTTAAAAAGGGGTAAAAGAGTAACTTTTCATTTATCATATTAAATAATTAAATAAGAAAAAAAAAAAAAAAAACACACAAAATCAACCCATCATTTGATGGAGAAAAGGCCAGAGAAAAAAGCAGGGATAAAAGAACCAAAGTGACAGCAACAACTCTCAATTTGATTCCCATTTTGACCTATAATTTCACATCAACATTGTAGTATATAACTTGTCAATGATCTTGTGAGAATAAAAAAACCACATGAACTATAAATAATAAGTAAAAACTTAAAAGATGCAAAATGCAATATTATTTAAAAGCTGCTACCTGCCTGTTGCAGGCAGCAAGCTGCCTTCAAATTTTTTTTTAATAGGAGGCTCGCCCAGGGCCACGGGGTGGCCAGAGCTTGAGCTAACTCCCCAGAGTGGGGCTTGGCCCGAACCCAAGCCGGGCCGAGCCCGAGTCGGCCGAGTCTCCGAACCTTTTTGTCACTGCTAGGTGAGGGTGAGGGTTGAGGATGAGGATGATTGATTTTGTGTGTGTGTGTGTGTATTTTTTTTATTTTTTATTTAATTATTTAATGCGATAAATGAAAAGTTACTCTTGTACTCATTTTTAAAATATTAAAAATGTAGTCAAAATTAAATTTTTGGTTAACTGACAGAATTATGGATGGAAACTGTCTAAGAGAGCTTCACCTACAATATTTAGAAATATTAGGGGTGGCGGCTACAACAAATCAAAGGTTTAAAAAAAATTTGCTAATATTTTAAAAATTTGGAACTTTTGCTGAAACTATCCCCAATTGCTTTTATTTGACCATATGAACGTTTCCACAAATGGAAAAAAGACACAAGATTCTTATGTGACTATTTTGTCTGGCACGAAAGTTGTTGGCGAAATAAATTAATTATAAGACAACAAAGGCGGCAGTGTAGTACCATAGAAAAATGAGTTTCCTTCGTCTAAAAAATAGGTTCAATTATAAGATAGAGATAGTATTTCAATTCAAATTATATAGAGCTATGTCATGTCATGTATAATTTTCTTATAAAGTATTATAAATTAATACATTTTTCTAGATGAAAAAAGGAAGTTTATTTGCATGTGGTTTTCGATAAATAAATGGTAAAATTTAAATTGTCCAATCGGGAAATATCATGAGCCATTAGATGCTTTACCCGGGACGCGTAGCCTCCGAATTACTGCCCACTCCATCAAATTATTAAACTTGCTTCCATTTTTACGAGTTGCTTCCTCGTTTGCTGCTCGTTAGACAAGAATACGCGCCAGCCAAAGTTACGGCTGTGTCCTAAAAAATTGCCTTGGTTCAGCTGTCCAGATTGTCCAAAGAGATGTGCTATTTTCCTGTTGAATTTCTGTGTACGTGCAGACTTTTTGTTGTATGCATCCTTGTTATGAGTTCTACCTAACATTATGTGGTATAATTTAACTATTTATAAACTAACGTAAAGTTTGACCAACAATGAAATTGAACAAAAATTTCAACAGTCTCGATGCAGAAAAGTGAGTTCCAAGATTTTTTTAATCTGCCAAAAAGGAAAATCTAAGAGCCTGGTTTTCTCTAGTCTCCACTCCCAGAGTCTCCTTCCTCGCCCCAGTCTCCACTCCCAGATTTTTTTAATCTGCCAAAAAGGAAAATCAAAAGCATGTTTGACGGTAATGTAAGGGTTTCTAAAAAAAAAAAAAAACTAAGTCATCTAAATATGTTTGGATACAAAAATTACTTAAAAAATAACTATACTTTTCATGCTTATTGTGTCTTCTTCTCATCGAATAATATATGCAAAACCCTAACCTAAGAAACATGCATGACAATAAAGAATTGTTCTTCCCCTTTCTTTTCTTGATGATATTTTCCTCAATATTCTAACGGGCTTTCAGAAATGAAAATGTAAAACGAAGAGGCTTAGAAAATCATTAGAATTTACTTACTTGTATGATGAAGTTTTCCATTAATACATTTATTGTTGAAATTATTGTTCAAAATTAATAAAATTAGATTTGAAATGAGAAATGAATTTGGAGGCCAAAAGTATATACTATGCGACTGCATAATTCATCTGGAATGCGGTCGCATATAGACCTGTAGAGATTTCAAGCCCTGCAAATTATTCTTCTATGTGACGGCCTAGGGTTGTTCTATGCCGTCGCATAGAACAAAAAAGTAGTCGTTGGATTGGCTTTTTTGTTTAAATTTGTTGCGACTTTTGGTGAAAAGTTTGCAACTTTTCAAGGATTTTTGATGTCATTTCGTGGGTATTGATGGAGATCTATAAATATATGTCTTCTGGTCAATATCAAATTAACATATTGAAAATAATATTGAAATCATATTCCATTCCAAATGTGAAAATTCTTTTCATTCATATTCAAAATTCTTCGTGTTCTTGAAATTTTGGTAGAAAACACTAAGTGTTTAAGTGTTTTTCTATTACAAGACTTAATAAATCCTACAAACCATTTGCCAAAATTCCTTTAAGTACCAAAATTCAATTCGAGAAGGGACAAATATTGTTTAAGGACAACGTTATCATTTTCTTTTTTGAGCCTTGTTTTGATTGTTCTTTGAAGTTCTTGATTACATTCTTTGGTTTCTTCTTCAACCTCTTTTAGTGGAAGCAATATTTTGAGCTAACAGTTATTGTAATTGTTACTCGATGCTTGTGTTATGAAATATTTTTCACAGTTTTTGTACTGACTATATTACACCCTTTAATATTTAATTAACTATATTGCTTGGACTGAACATGATTTCTCTGAATGCCATTCAAATTGAACCAAAGAAATTAACAAAAATGCTTCGAAACAAGTTAGAAAAAAATGAACGAACAAGTCATCGCAGCCACCAAGTACACCGATCATCCCTGGATGTGGTGGCGCAGAAGTTAATAAGAATCATTTCTTGGGGGAACTCGTCCATGAATGGGGGCAGCTTTAGATTATTCCGGCAAAGAGGGCATGTCATGTGACCATAACTCAGCCACCTATCCAAACAAACTCTGTGAAACAAATGATGACATCTCAGTTCCCTGATCTCATCTTCTTCCTGGATCTTGCACAAACAAACAGCACATTCTACTGAATCTCCAGACTCAGTTCTATTTTCGTAGTGTGTAACGCTAATGCCATCAACATATTCCGGTAACTTGATTCGGGCAGGTTGGATGGAAAAGGATTGACAAAGAAGATAATTCCATGCCCACTTCAGCTGTGTTGCAATCAAAACTATATAGGTGAAAAACACTGATAGTGGCACAATCTGAATCATTTTCTGGGATTAATTAATTTCCTTTGATCAGATTGATCAGGCAAGTTATTGTATTTTTGTACGATTAGATTAGGGTATATATAGACAAATCTTGGGGGTGAGAGAGAGTGAGCGATGAGTTTATTTTTCTTCAGTAGAATAAATAAAATTTTCCAGTCAACAAGTTATCTTTCTATTCAAAATTGGTTACCTAGACACATATTACTGGTTCTTATTGGTCAATATTTATGAAAAAGTTTTTTATATGTGTCATGACTTTTAGCACGCATGCTCTACGAATGATATTCTAGATGTTATTTATTTTAGAATAATTTGATCCATTTTTTGTTAATTTTTTCGACTATTTGATTTCCTCTCTGATACTAAGATAATTGTCCCATAAACAACGATAAACGACAAACAATGTTTTGAAATAATATCCACCCACGAACTATTTTGTATAGAAGGGGTTAAAGATCCAAGACATTAATACTCCGTTTTGTGGGGATTAAAATAAACATTTTAATATATTGATAAAAGATAATGAAATATGTAGTTGAAAAGTTATGAGATTCAAAAAATATGTGATTAAAATTAAATATCGAGACTGTATGCATACGATTCATGATGCATATAAGTATCGCAACTCCGAACATAAATAACTCCTCTCGTGAATAATGATCTAGCAATTATCTTACTAACATCAGGTTGTGAGTAAATAATAAATTCACTTGTCACCATCTAGTGGACATATTTTTTATGATCATAAAATATCTTAATAGTCCACTGGAGGGTAGCCCAACGCATAAACATCTTTAACTTGTGTAGGTCGATTAACCTATTTTCCACGAGAACAAGTAAAATATAAGAATTCATTACTTTCTCTTGATTCTTCTAGATAGTATTAGTAAGTGTACGTATCATTATAATTTACAATAATGCTGCACGTATAAGCAGGGACGGATTTAGGACCAGATTACAGGTCGAACTAATACGTAAATATAAAATAAAATTACACATGATTTTTTTCTTTTTACATAAATTTTTTTAACTAAAAAAAAAAATCAGCTGAGGGGGTGGGGGCTGCACCCCCCATCCGTCCTTGCGTAAAAGGACATGTCGGCCCTGTACGTGTAGCATGGTTCTATAATTTATGATGTTAAAATCTATCAATCTAAATAATTTTTTTTGAGGACTTGAACTTCTAGTACATTACATGGTTACAAGGATCCAATGGTCATTCACAAATTTTATTTAACTTAAGTCAGAAATCACTATATTCCTTACTATGAATTGTAGTTCAACCTATAAATAAAAAAATATATAGAATAATTATGTTGTAATATGTGGCTCATATAAAGTGGAATACATGTATATATATATAAAAAAAGGCCGATATAGAAGTGAACGGAGTGGAGTGGAGTGTGGGTGGTAGAGCACATAGATGAGAATGGACCTACTACCAAATCACATAAACCAGTGTTCTTCTCTCTTTGTTGATTTCATATTGTTCATCACTATTATTGCACAAAACACGACAAATTGCATAATAATACAATTGTAAGAGTAGCACGAGAAAATCAAAAGACTATTTCAGAGATTGTTACACATCCATGGATTACATATATATGCATGAATATAAAAAATAAAATATGCATGAAGTCAAGTGTAACAACCGACAACGGTATTAAAAATTAAGGCAGCAGTCTTGGGCTGTCACTTTGGGAATTAAAAACTTGTAAAAAATACTATGATAATCTTCAAAATTCTTTTAAAATCCTTGATGGGTCATAGACATAAATGATTATAGCTCTAGTTTTCAAGATTCAAACATTTTAAAACAACAAAAGCGTGCTACTAAGTATCAAATTTTGTCATAGTTCAGTATAGGTCAAGATTGGTTTAACACGAAATTGACCCTAATGAATAACGGGCAAAAAGAATGGGAGCCAAATGGGACATAATACATATAAAATTCATGACAAAGGAGAAGGGAATAAAGAGTGAAAGAATCTATTGCATTAAAAAGAATATTTTTGTCTTGCATGAAAATTGTTGGTGGAATAATTATTAGAAAAAAATAGTTTCCACAGTCTGGAAAAGAAGTCGAATTATTCATTAGTTCATAGTATTTTAACCTAAAATTAAATGAGCAATCCTACACTTATCGACAATGGTCGACAAACACTTTAATCGAACACTCACAATAGGGGGATGCCCACATTTTTTGAAATTTTTTACTCACACGGGGCCCGCACGCATATGAAAGATTGTCAAACTCATTGTCATCCATTTTCGGTACAAATGGAAGAAATCAAATTTAATATAGTACTTATTGAAGTAATGCATGATCCATTTTTGAGTTAAAATGTGTTTTAGAATAGTTTCTCTCTCTTTTCTTTTTTTTTTAAGAACGTGTGATTTAAAAATACGGAAAAGTTTTGGCCCTAATGCGCGTGATTTGAGAAAATGGACTCTATTTGGAGAATTCTTCCATTTAACCTTGACTATTATGTTGCATTTATCCTCAACCCAAGTAACTATTCTTCTCCAGCTTCCCAACCAGAATAAGCCCTCTCTTACCGATATTAACAAGTCAATCTGCTAATTATTTGTTTCCTTATCTCCAACTATGGGTAATCTGTATTTTTAAATGCTGAGGTCAGTGACAAGAGCTTTCGACTCAGCTTCTAAGATAGAACAACATCCATAAATGATGTTCGCCATTACCATTATTAAACCTTCATCACATTTTACCATCATTACCAAAACTGTAAGGTGTGTTTGGTTGAGATCATGGAATTCTCAAGGAAAGAAAATAAATTGTTGGCGATTCAATTGTTTAAAATTTATTTATATGAAAATTATTAATTAAATGTGTTTGATTGATTTAGTTTTCAACGAAGAAAATATTATACTTGTCCCCTTTTTGTTAGTAATGAGAAATAGTGGATAGATGAGAGAGATCGAAAGTGAAAGTTACTAGTTCGTTTCTAAGATCACCTAGAGGGGGTGAATAAGTGAATAATGCGGAATTAAAAATTATCAATATTGATTAATATTGCAACAAGTCATAATAATTAATTACTTTAGATTCAGTTCATGAGAATTACCCTATGTTGAAGAATTCATGACGCAGAAAACCCTTAATTGGGTAAAAAAAACCTCCAAGATCAAGTCATAGTTTGCACGACAATAAGTACTTATAGTATGATCCAGCCTAGAATACTCACCAAATTCACTACTCTAATTTCTGTAATTTTCAAGACCTATTGGAACGTGCTTCACTCACATCTGCTCTCAATATTCTAGAATTGTCTATCTCATGTGAATTACCAAGAACACATTTTTCTCATACTCTTCATGTGCTTCTGGTTTAACCTTCCTCAACTTTCAACAACTTCTTAAAGTTATCAAGAAAGTACCTTCCTGATTATATCTGAGTGTTTTTGATTATTTCATTTTGATGTTTTTCCCAATTTCTAGTTGATTGATTTCAAGAATCAAAGGATTAATTTCAATATCTTGATGTATTCTCGGATCTTGAATTGATATTATGAGAATGTAAAATAATGATAAACTACCCCTAAAAACGTAATGAACATTAGATAATATGAAGTATTTAGGTAGTATAAATAGATAGAACTCTTGAAATCGCGAACTAGGATTTCACGTATAACACTGTCGCTCAAGCGCAAAACTGCGACAGGTGAGCAACAGGTGTGTTGCTCGAGCAATAGGCGGG